CATCAGAGCCAGGAACTTCTTGTCTTTATAATCATATCGTCTCCCAAAGACAATGGAGCATATGACATTGGAGACAGCACAGCTCAGCATGAAGGTTGCGTCAAAAGGTGTTCCTGTGAATTTAGAAAAGTTACAGACTATTAAAAAACCGCCATGAAATGTTGTATGTCTGCTTATGTCTACTGTGGGTAATCTGAACTCTGCCCGTTAGTGGAAATATCAGATCAGTCTCTGACTGACACAGAAGGGTCCTCCAAACAGAACAGGACGTGGTCACAAAATTGTTATGGCTTTGTAATGAGGGGTAGCTGTGCATGGACCAAATCCACAGGAACTTCATTCCTTGCTAAAGATGTGAACTCCCTTAATACAGCCTCTTTTGTTTCAAACATAAAATAGATTGAAAATGGACTGTACCCTTTGTTTTGTGGATTTCCTCCAGCAAGTAGTCAGATTCCTCCTGTATCCTCTCTTCAATGCTCCTCTTCCCCATTCCAAAATTCCGCAGAGCGGTGAGAGAAAACCGCCGTACGTGCAACCATGGCTCGTTGTTACTAAAAACAATTCCTGCAGAGGAAGAAGGATGCCTGTTTTCGGCATGCTGGTGTGAGATGAATGGTGGCTCATGGTGACAGTGAATCGTGTCCCTGGAGAGCACTGACATGGCAGCATCACAGTGTGGTTTGGAGGTTCTGTAGTCCAACTGCCTGCTTTCGGCCTTCTCTGCTACATGCCCGACATCCTTGTGAATAATTCATCACTCACCCATACACAGTTTCCCTTGCTGCAGCTGGTGGCTGCTGCCCCTTGCCATTTCCCTGCCCATCCTTGAGAACAATCTGGCTCTCCTTCTCTGCCACCTCCCACCCTTTCAGTGGCTGTAGCCCTCTCTGGCTTCCCCTCTCCAGGTGGGTTGCACCCACCCCTGGCAGTTTTCCCTCATGCAAGGTACACTCCAGCTCTAATCTGCTGAACACATCCTCAGCCCTTCCCTTCTCCTTCAGAAGGAGCTCAGTCAGCAAACTTACCTAATCCCTGGTTAGCCCTGTCTCCAGTTGGCTCACGTCCTCTGGCAGCAAACTCGTCCGCACGATCGATCAAGGCTTCTTTCACCGCGTCGTATCCGTGCAGCACCACCACTGGGTCAGAGCCCATGTGCACTGTGAACACGGGTCCATACTCTTCACTGAGCTGTAAAAATGCAAGAGAGAACATGGCCATGGAGCAAATAGTGAGGAAGAGCAGGAAAGTCTCCTTGCTGCTGCCTCCCATAGTAGGCGGTTAGCCTCCCACATTAGTAACATCAAGATTTGGTTCTCTCATGATAAATGTGGCTGTGCAGATGGGTCCCACATATCTCTAAAACATAGCTATAAAAACCAAACATTTTTTCTTTGTGCTTTACAGTGAGAGTGAAATGGGGCTTGGTGTCAGAAAAGGGATCCCAGGTCTGGAGAAGCACCTTGGCCAAATATGAGCCAGCTACATGCTGACACCCAAGATGTGAGGAGGGAGGGAGGCTGGACTTCAGAGCACCTCTGGAAACAGACAGGTTTGGATCTGAGTTTATATGCTGAAGGTCTGTGTTAGCTCAAGAGCAGGTTCTGGGTCACATGGCTGAGTCAGTCAATGTTTACTAGTCAATCATTTGTTAGATTGCCCTGTGTTATGAAACTTTTATTGGTATTAATTATTCATTGAAGTCACACCTTATCTCAAACAACTGAGGTTAGGAAATCTGTAATGTGCTCACATAACCTATTTTGTTTTACTTAGTGCTAATTGTTAAGGAAATCATGGTGGGGCACACTGTCCTACTGAAGCACTCACAGATATTCACTGTCACAGGAGAATCTTCCAAGTACTTCAGTGACATTTGGGTTTTCTGTTCTTCCCTATTGATTGCACCAGCCCTCAGTGGTGTGAGCCATCCTTCATTGTTCCTGAAAACTTTCTGATGTTATCAGTAAAGTTCACACTGCATGTGATTTGCCAAAGGACATGCAACTGTGTTTTCCTCAGCAATTGCACAGCAACAGCCTCAGTCTCTCTCCCTAGGGGTGACTGGCTTCACAAGAGAGGAGAGTATAAAATATCAATCTAGCAATGCTAGAAAGGTCTCCAGACATGACAATAGACAAGACAGGACTTGCTGATTGAGGCAAAATGAAGATGTCAGAAAAGGGGATGAGACATTGAGACTCTGACTTCTTCAAGGGCTCCTAGAGGAGAAAAAGAGAAAACCACAGAGAAGAGAGAAACCCAGAACTTAAGAGAGTCTCTGGGGAATGGCTTCCCATGCTGTGACAGAGATGCACTTTTCTGAGGTTGGGTATAGGCCATTGCAACCTGGCAACTGGTCCTTGCACTTACCAAAGCAGCTCCTCCAACCTACTGCTGGAAGCTGGCACGCACACATTCTTGTTTCATTGAAGTCTGACTCCACTATGAGGAGTTCCCTAGGTGCTCTGGGAGACAGCAGAGCATGTCTGGTGTATTGCAAGGGCTTAAAAAAGAGCTGGAGGCTTCCTGCCCAAATTACACAGGACTGCATACCAGGGGGGATCCCAAGGCAGTGGCAAGGGCTGGTAGAAACAGCCCTCAGGGCTGTGCTCAGCTTCTTCAGTCTGGCCTTAACCGTCCATCTCTCCCAAACTGTGACACATTTGCAGGCAAAGCTGATCGGAAGGTGTTGCAAGGATCGGGGATGTGGGACATGGTGGGAAATAGCAAGAGGCCTGGGTGAACTGAGTGCTTCCTTGGGACAAGCTGTGTTTGCTGCAGAGCAGCGTGTTAAGGTGAGCTTCCCTTTCACTCAGAGGAGCTAGTGAAGATCTCCTTCCTTTGCAAAAGTTTTTGTACCTTCCCTTCAGAAGGGAGTTCTAAGTCATCCTTATTCTCTTGGATGGGTGCAATAATTCTCCAGTTATTCATTTTAAGTCTTAATTTACTTCTTAGAGAGCCATACTCAATACTTTGCTGGAAAAACCAAATTGTCAACAACTTTTGGCTACTTGCTGGTCTGCTGGCCACATTCCTGCATCAGCTCAGATGCTGTCAGGTCAGTTCATGTAGGTTCATGTAGGTTCATGGAAGTTCATCTAATGAAAGTGAAGTTCATGAGAGTTTGCACTTCCACATGAGGTAGCTGCCAGCCAGCAGAGTTCATGACCTTACCTCCTTGTCTACAAAGTTCCCTTTTGTCCATGACAATCAGACTAGTGGTCCACAGAGAGGTTTTCTTCACCTTCCTTCATCCTCTTCATGTCTTTCCTGTCTGTGGTGGTCTTGGCTGCCATCTAAACTGGTGCTTACAGCTGGGTCACTATAATGCATGGGAACTATCAAAAGGATGAGGAAAAGATTTCTGAGGAAGAGAGACCTGCTAGTTTCATGTCAGCTAGGCTGCTTTCTGCTTTCCAATTTCCATAACAACTTCTTTCAAACAAAGCATTTAATTTCCCTGAATTTCAGGCTCATCTGAAGAGCCTCCCATCCCTACATGATCAACCACAGCTATTTGGTGTCTGTGTAGGAACTAGGAAGGGGCAGTTACCTGACAACATTCTCAGCACAGGTACTCCTTGGCAGATCTACAGCATTCTGGCGTTCTTTCACATAGAATTATTCTTCAGGTCCACGTCGACATTTTTTCTGTCAGCAGAAGTAAAGTATTGATGGATTAAAGTATAATCAAAGTACTTCCCTATAGCTCCAAAGTACCCTATTGATTTTTACCCAATTATCAGCAGGTAATGCAGTCAAAGGTGCATTTGGCAGCCATTCAGTGATGATGTGATTTGGGCATGCCCAGTGCTCAGCTTCTAAAGAGATGGAGCCTCCCTCCCTGGCAAAGTCTAAATGTTTTCCATGGGTGTCTCTCCACTGTTGCTGCCTGGTGCCTGGGCAGGCTCTGTGGGGAGCAGCTGGTTCATGAGGGCTGCTCAAGCCTCAGCCATGCAGGCAGCCTGCCGAGATCCATTGTCTCCATCTCCTGTTGTGCAGAGCTGCTGACACAGTCTTACACTTTGTGGAGCAGCCCTCCTGGTTGGTGCATGAAATTAGCAGAGGCAGGCACAGGGACCTTGTTGAGCAGCTGGGATCGTGGCACTTTGTACAGCTGTGCAGCAAAGGTGGGCTGTGGGCTGAGGGGGAAGAGCAAAGGAAATGCCTCCCTCAGACTCAGCTGCTGCCCACCCACCATGCCTGTGATGAGGGCTGGCTGGGGCCAGGGAACTGATGCTGTACAGTGCTGTGCAGACATCCAGGAGCTGGAGGGTCTGCTGAGGGCAGAAGTGTAAAGACATTCTCAGTTCCGTGGCATGAATGCAGAAACATGTATGGAAAGATGGACAACGAGGCATTTGCTTGGTGTGGCTGCCTGATGTGTGGCTGGGGAGAAGACTCTCCATGGCACCTTGCACTTACAGGCAGGCCATGGTTGCTGGCAGGCAGAGTTTCCTCTGGGATCACAGAGGCTGCCCTTGCCTGTGTTTCAAGCCCAGCTCAGGGGCCCACTTGCCAGTTTTTGGGGGAAGGGGTCCCAGAGAGCACACCATCCTGCCACTTAGCAGCCAGGCCTGAGCCAGTCCTGCAACTATCCCCACAAACACCCTGCAAACAGGGCTGTAAGTCCACAGCCACGAGTGCTTATGGGGAATCACCACTGTTTAGGCGTGCAAAGCCTTCTGAGCTCCGTGATTTCTCACAGATTTTATCTGGAGGGCTCTTTCTGTGCTTTTAGGTCAGCCCCTGTGTCTGGAATTTGAACCCCTGTAGTCTTTAAAAGAGTAAAGGAGCATTGTCACTGTTTCTTGCGCTCATGGCATGTAATGAGCAATTAGAGCAGGAATAGGGAGCATGGGAAGAAGCAAGCAGGTTTCCTATATGTCCCAAATGTGGGAAAGACTCAGGGAAAGAAGTATTGAAGACCCTCCTGGGGCTCTACAGTATGAATACAGACCCATCTCTTGATATGAGCTTAAATCTTGCCCTTTGGTTTCCTTCAAAGAGTGCAAGCAGACTCTGCTGAGTTCAGGTGAGGGCAATGGAAGATGTTTAACTGCTGGGCTGGGTCCAGCTGGGCACTTCAGGGATTTCTGGTCCCAGCTGGCTCCACAATTTAAAAGGACTAGGCTAAGAGCCTAGCAAGAGAGCAGGATGGGTGTTGTAGGGTGGTCTAGGGCTGCTAGATCAGGGGCTGTGCTCCTCTGGGTGTTTCTTGGTCCCCTGGCTTTGGTTCTGGGGGCTCATGTCAGTGTTTTTACTGATCCTACCCTGCTGACTTGTGGCCAAAAAAGCTTGCAGCTCACCTTACCTCCAGGCTGGGAAGGGAATGCTTCATTTGTGCTGACTACTTGGGGTGAGATAATATCAAGATGCATTTTTAGCCATATCTTTGTCCAAATGCAGAGGCGCACGGAATGAGAGGAAAGGAACAGGTTGTGATGTGAAGTGCTGTTGAACTTCACTGAAGTTCTGTGCATCTTGCATAATCAGGGGGCTGTTTATATGACACAGCAGTCAAGGACTTGGTGAAGTGCTGTGCCTGGGTCTAGATGTCTTGGCTGCTGGATTCTCTCACTGCTGGTCCAGACCCTAATATGGCCTAGGTCCCTATTTCCTACAGAAAGGATGGATTGTAGCAGGTCTGATCTGCAATGTGGGACTCTGAAGCCTCTGCTGCTGTGCCCCCTTTCCCCAGATACTGAAGGGAAGGCACATGTTCTGCAGAATGACTCCAGCTGTGGATTCTTGGTATCTGGGACTCCAGAGGGCTCCAGGAAAGTATTGGTCTCTTATGCAGGCTGTTATGTCTTTGAGTGGGTGAGTGGCCTGAGGGATTCTGCTGGGGCTGTACCTACTGCTGCTCTGGCTGTCCTGACTGGTGTGGCTTTCCCCTAGGATCACAATTACCTTATGCAGGTTGGGCTTGAAGGAGCAGATGCTGCTGAGCCAAAGGGACTTGTGCCTCTCTGCAGGGTCAGCAGGTGAATGTGTGCATTGTGTCTCCCAGCCATATTCTGGCTACATGAGTTCCTGCAAGTTCAGGGATTGAACTGGAGACTGGGTACAATGATTTCCTAAACTACCAAGAGTTGATCTAGATAGCTTTTTCTTGCCATGTCTAATGTAAGTCCAGTTTCCTGTAAAGGGCCTCAGGGGGAGTCTCTGCTCCATGGAAATGCAGGTTCCTCCTGAGCAGGCTTCTTGCCTGATCCAGGCCATGTGTTTGACCCTCACCTAACTCTCACTTCCCTTGATGTGTATGCAGAGTCACCAGAACT